GGGCCAGACTCCTGGGCCCGGGGTAGAGCTCAAGGCTTGGAATCATAATGGATTCCTTTAAGGGGATACGACCAAGAACCTAGTATCACACTCAGTATCAAGTCTTGGCCTGTCACACAGGGGCTACCGCTTGCTCGTGCATAAGCTCTGAAAGGAACTGTCTCAGCAGACCTCTAGTGGCCACACCCTGCTAAATACCTGGAGATACCTAAGTGGAGTGGTGCCCAAGGTGACCGGGGCTTAAACCAGCTCAAGACAGTCTACTGCAAGCTAGACAAAAACTCAGCGCATCAGAGAGGCGGAATTGGAAGGGCCTAGTTCACCTGATGCTACTGGTTCCAGGTGCTCTGGGAAAAGAGCGAAACCAGCGCATCAAGAAGAAAGCCCCTCTCTTCCATCCCGATATCTGCCAGGTTCACCCACAGATGTCTCTCAATACCTACTATAGCTGCCATGCTTAGTAGCACAGAGAGTGAGATCTGTGGTGCGGCGAAACTCAGCTACCTCATCAGGCCTTTATCCAGGTCTTCCAGCAGGTCAGCCTAATATGCCTAGAGCACCGCATCATGTGCAACGAAGCAACAGCCTGAACTGCTGCTGCGTATGCCCTGCCATTTAAGCGAGATGGCAAGGAGGGAGTTTTAAGAGAGGACGTGTCACCCATAGAAAGATAGCTAGCCAGTCGTCTTGTTTACAGGGGCATCCTCTCATAGTCGTTTCCGCGCATCGCCTCGATGTTGGCATAACTCAATTCGAAGTCCACCTGATTAGAACTGAATTCAAATTTTAATGGTTTACACCTTATCAACGGTCGTCCAGCGAGCCGTTAATGTTCATGTATCTTAACCATCTGATTATGGGTATTTTCCCTGGCCATGGGCTAATACGTTCTTTGATAATTTGTAAGCTCTTAGAGAGGTAACGTGATATTTGGCAAGAGTTTGACTTTAAAATTATACGATACCAGACAATGATTCTTTATAAATGAAACACAAATTATATTGGCTATTCTAGATTACATTAAAGCTAAGCTAAAATACACACACACACACATATACAGTTCAGAAGTGAGTTAACGGAGTTGCATGAAGTTTCAAAGTTCTATCTCATTTTCATGAGTGGTTTTAAATTCAGCCTGAGAGAATTCACAAAGCAGATATTTTCTTATCTTTACTGCTTAACTCAATTCACCAGTGTCAGTTCAGCAGATAGAAGATTTTGTTTGTACTTGCGTTTGCTGAAAGCTGAGTTGTTCCTTGTGGCTACTGGAGGGGATTCCGTGGCTGATTGGCTGTTGATCTGGCGCCAGAATGACGTTTGGATGACGTCCTTTTGGGGAAGGTTGGATTGGTTGCTTTCTTGATGATGTAGAGGCTTGAGTAGTTCTGCTGAAAAGTCTCTGTTTGCAAGGCTTTAAGTTCTTTGAAGATCGCGAAGTGTCAACTGAAGTGTTTGAGTTCTGGAGTCTCGCTTGTGCGATGTTACGGCATGGGAGCGCTTTGTCGCGCTCACCAAGGTGAAAGCCAAAGGTCTTGAGAGAGAGAGAGAGAGCGAGCGAGCGTAAGACAGCTTTGTATTCCTTTTAAGCAGGCTCGATGTTGATCCATCCCATACGTGATTGTTCAATCCGATGGTGGCTGCGGGGCTTAGCCACGCCCTGTGTGGTTCCTTTTTTTTCATGCACAAGTCACATGCTCCTGTGGGGCGTACTTCTGCAGGTTTTAATAACTTCTTATAAACATATCATCACCGGAAAATGATACAGAATATAAAATTTTCACTAACACCAATGTTCAGCAAATGAAGCAAGCTTTCATTCAAGCTCAATATCGGATAGTTTCCATCCACATTAATAATCTTAATTACTAAAAGGTGTTTATACACATTGGTTAAACTTGCACCGATTACAGGAAATACATCAAGCGTATGTCTTATATATATGCTGATTGGCTGCGGGTCTGTTTGGGTTTCAGGAATCAGATGTTCAAAAAGTCATGTGGCGTCACACTGTATAGATTGAATCACATTATCACTGTTCTTTAGGTTTGTTGTTCTGCAAGCCTGAGGTGTGATTAACTACATAACACTCAAAACTCACCATACGCAGAACAGGAGGATTGAGAAGGCTCAGCCTCAGCTTCTTCGCCGTCCTCAGACATCTCCTTTGAAGTTCCCTAGAAACTTTTATTGTTTATTGAGCAGTTAAAGAATGAACTGCATAGATAAAGCAGTGATGCCAGTGTGTATTTATGTAAAATGATGGGAAATGTCCAACATCAGTCCACAAATACCCACCAAATCACTTGAGTGGCATAACAGAGAAACAATGGACTAGAATAACTCTAGCTGACATAATAAAGTTTTTATTAACATAAATGATACCGACCGCTGTAATTGACAAAGCTCAGCAGCAGGGGGGTTACTTACAAGAGGGGACAGGGGATAACTTACAAGAAATGTCCAAAAGAAAAGGATTAAAAAATTTTATACATCCATTTGACTTTCTTACATCTTTTACGGCCTCAATAATTGTAATGCTTTAGTTCGAATTTAATGTTCACTTTATTATTAGTCTGTTTTAGTTTGTGTACATGGTATTTCACCTTCAAATTAATCACGAATTTTTTTTTCAAAATTCTATTTTTATGCAACAAAAGTACATCTTTACCAGAGGGTTGAATATTTAATTTTGTAAATTTAAATATTAGATATTCAATATCGATTGAATATCTATTTACAACTGGGTAAATATACATTCATAAAATAATTGTTTTATGGATTCACAAAAAATAATGTATTCACAAACATTAAATCAATGTTCAAATCATAAAACAAATCCTGAAATTGTATCATTTATGTCATGATGGAAAATAGCAATAGATAAATATTCTGATGTCGCTTTATGGTCTTTTTGGGGTTAAATTATGTTTTATGCAGACATATTTTGGGTCACCGTGAACAGCAATCTATTGAAAATATCAGCAAAAGTATAAAGGAAACGCCGTTATAACAGCGTCTTTACATCCATTTTGACCGCTCCCAGCACCCATACCGTAATTGTGTGATTAGCAGCCAAAAGAAAAGTGCGGCTTGCTTGATTTTCAGTGATACGAGGCCACTTTTTCACATCCTCCTCCCAACCATCTCCCGCGGAGGCTAAAGGTACTGTTATTTCACCCTTTTTAAATTAATTGAAGTTGTGTTCCCACCTCGTTAGCAGGTTTGGATCGCTAAATCTTGAATGACTGACTGTCAACTGTCCCGCTAGTTTACTCCGAACCGGAAAACGCTACCCCTTTTGACGTAAGGCCTCATGGGGCGTAGGAAACTTGTGGATAGAGCATGTGGCCTATAGCACTACAGTGAGATCCCAGGACACCCCTAGTCCGCATGTTCACTGCTATTTATTACTCAGCATTGTCTGGCATGAATATCCATTCATTCATAAAGAGACAGCAGCGATTCTACAACGGGTTACATTTGAGAGCTATTGAGTTAGAAAATAGAGTAAATGAAGTCACCTATAAGGTGATTAGTCTGATTAACATGAGACACACACACACACACACACACACACTCACTCATTCACACACACACACACACACACTCACACACAGGAATAATCAAATTGAAGAAATCTGTTGTTTCAGGTTTCTAGACTCTAAGTTTATGTTTATAACTGTCATATTATACATTTTGCGTTCTGCTCTTTTTATGTAGATTTCAAGTATTTTATTTCATACAGTAATGCATTTATTTCAGTCCTCTGCTGAAAAAAACTAACAAACAACAGCAACAACAAAAAAACAATAGAAACCACCACATCATTTGTAATGGTTTTACTGGTTATAATGAAAATTTTATTGTTTTTAATGGAAACTGTACAAAATCAATTAACTTTACTTTCAGAGTGTAGAGATTGTGTTTTTTATACTTTACCAAGGTATAAATGTTTTATACATTTTAACCTGATGTACTTTTTTTTTTTTACGTTGAGTTAAAATCTACTGTAGTAAGAACTGAACAGAAAATACACATACTGTCACAAAAACTGCACAAACACGTGTGTGTGATGATCACTGTGGGTGTGTGTCTGTTGATTCTGTTGAATGTGATGTCTGTCTGTAGCGGCTCTTTATTCACCATCAGCGATCAGAGAAGGTCAGACTAACATCTAGAAGCTGAAAGTAAAACACAAGCAAATGTGTGTCACATTACTGCATTATCCACTTTACAACAACTAAAACAAACTATTTGCATTATTAGTCAGATTTATAAACTAACCCTGTGACGTACGATTATTAAAGCTCTTTTTGCATTCAGATTCTGTAACACATTTTACCAATTCCAAAGCACATCAATCTTAATAACTACTATTCATTTTGTATTTAATCATTTATGAGTGATATATAATTGTCCATGAAGACTGGACATGAAAAACTCCTTATATTCAGGTGTGCAGAATTATTAGGCAGGTTTTCTTTTACAGATAAAATGAGCCAAAAAAGAGGTTTTAACTCAGACTGAAAAGTAAAAAATTATTAAATCCCCATGAGAAATATTAAAAACTAATGCAATACAGTTAAGGCATGACCACTGGACAGCAAAATGCTCATTGGGTTAATGGGGGAAAAAAAGAAAAGGAAAAAACCGGGTCGAGAAGAGAAACCAGCATTTTCCAGAACTGCAACTTTCCTAAAATATGACCCTCACTTAATAAGAATCACATGCTGAAGTGTTGTGAAATACATGAAGACTATTTTTATAGGTTTTATGGACAGATAAATTGAGAGTGACTCTTGAAGGAGCATCACATCTTCTTGTGCCACTGTTTGAAGAATTCATCTTCCAGAATCTGGCAGTAAGTTTTAGGAGCTCATTTTTAGTCAATCTCTTTTCCTGAAAAGTCTGTCTTGCAGAATTAGTTCTTACCAATTCAGTTTAGTATCCTAAAAGTACAACAGCAGGGTGATTTTATTAAGTAAATAAATACGTGAATTAATGTGTACTATACTTAGCATGAAATAAATGTGTTTCATATACAAGTGTGATAAATTGAGAGTGACTCTTGAAGGAGCATCACATCCTCTTGTGCCACTGTTTGAAGAATTCATCTTCCAGAATCTAGCAGTAAGTTTTAGGAGCTCATTTTTAGTCAATCTCTTTTCCTGAAAAGTCTGTCTTGCAGAATTAACTTCCAATTCAGTTTAGTATCCTAAAAGTACAACAGCAGGGTTATTTTATTAAGTAAATCAATACGTGAATGGATTTGTACTATACTTAGCATGGAATAAATGTGTTTCATATACAAGTGTATTTATTTTTCACTATTGAAATACTGTATTATTGTTAAATAAAAAAGAAACATCAAGATACTAAACTATAAACAGAATCAAACTCTTATTAAACATGTTAGTCACAATTATGAAGAAAGTAACCTAAGAAGAAACTATATTAATTTTAATTTAAACAATCAAACATTTTTAATCTTCACTACTCACTCAAGCTTCTCCAGTTTATAATGTGGATCATCCTTCAGATCAGAGAGCAGCTTCACTCCTGACGCTCCTAGTTTATTTACAGACAGACTCAGTTCTCAACCTTCATCTGTGACTCCACAATCCCTCAACCTGTAGAGAACAATGACACTCTTCAGTCTCTCAGTTCAGGATCTACAGAAACTTCATGATTAACAGATCCAGTCTAAGGTTCAGATCCGCTTCTGATTGACAGTTCATTTCAATATCATAAAAAAGTATGTTTTTTTTTCTTTACATGAAAACCCTAAAATCTTCAACACATCTGTATGATGTGAAAACATACTGAAACAAGGAAACATATTTCCTACATAGCTGAGTGTGAGCCTTTATCAAATCACTTTTCTTGTGAATATTAATAATCCTTCTCCTGTCCTCATATGATGTTTGAAAAATGTATTTTTATGTATATTTCATAATGGGGAAAAAAGATTAAGGGTGTAACTATTAAAGGTTCAATTCACAATTTTGAAATCACAATCTGACTCATAATACTACAAATTAATCTTGTCACGGTACCAACATTTTAGTTGTCCACCAATACCATATGTGAAAATAAAAAGTATTAAGTACATTAAATTAGTATAATTAAGCTAATAATAATTAATTAATACTTTAAAACAGCATGTAGCCTTCAAATATGTTTCACTTAAGTAACATTGTTTTAAAAAGGTCAAATGAAAACTCGTATAGAACAAATGATAAGTATATTCATCAGCATTTACACTCCGAGATCTATTGACATCAGATATTATTATTATTATTATTATTATTATTTGTCCCATCCATTGCTATGTTATCACTGTGGCAATCATCACAATTTCTGATTCAGATTTAAAATTTAAATATGATTTAAATACGGTTGTCACTCCAGAAAGTTTGCAATGTTTAATAATTAGCAATAAAAACAATAATGACTTTTACGTAATACCTAATACTAATGTACCTAATGTACTAATACCTAAATTAAATATTACTTTATTATGAACTAATGATGTGTTCAGGTATGTACTAATCAAAACTAATCCATCAAAACATTAACTAACAAACATGTACTAAAGGTTCATCTCTGTCTACACTTGGTACATTTTCTGACGTGGATAAAACTCTACAGATGATTCTACATCCTTGTCAGAACTACAACTATAAACTATTTGTACATATTTATTTGTGAGTACCAGTGTGTGTGTGTTTGATCCAGAGAGATGATTTACCAGAGTTTCTCCAGTTTACAGTGAGGATCCTTCAGTAGATCAGAGAGCAGCTTCACTCCTGACGCTCCTAGTTTATTATCAGTCAGATCTAGTTCTCTCAGGTGTGAGGGGTTTGATCTCAGAGCTGAAGCCAGAGCAGCACAACCTTCATCTGTGACTCCACAATAACTCAACCTGTAGAGAACAATGACACTCTTCAGTCTCTCAGTTCAGGATCTACAGCTCAGATCAGCAGCAACTTCATGATTAACAGATCCAGTCTAAGCCTTGGCAACTTTCATGTATCTTTTATGTTAAAGACAAAAAAATAATAAAAATTAAAATACTATAAGTGCTAAAATAATGAATAATCTATTATATAAACAACAAACTATAAAAGTATAATATACAGTACAGTTGATCATTTTACTGGGAAAACACCATATGCACAAGAAAAATGGTCTCTTTGTAAACAATAATAAATATAAACCAGGATTTAGGTGCTGAAAGCTGATGTGAAATCTCAGGTAGTCAGATGCACTGAATTGTGATTGTGTCTCAGATGCAGTCAACTGAAACTGTGGTCCTGTTTTCACTTCACATTTAAATGCATTCAAACTTTATTATGTTGAGAAAAAACACAGACTACGAATGATATCTCATCCATTCACTTCCTTCCCCGCTCACTCGTAAGTAGACTCATTTATTCAATCATATTCGAGCATCACACTCGCGCTCCTGCTAAAGTGATGTAGAGTGATGAAATAAGAGAACTGGGTCTATATGAAATCAGAACACAAGGCTCACAGAAGATCTGTGTCTGTAAATGTGGGAACTAAATGGTCATACAGTGAGAATAATAAAGGAACAGCGTTCTTCAGGACGTTCCTGGTAAATCTCGTTTGTCCACATGGATGTCCAGTGGAAGGTCTATCTATTGTTTGTAACTCATTTATCTTCAGCATTAATATTCACATGCCTTGGTTAGCTATGCTTTCTCCTGCACAGCACTGTTGTGACTTGCTGACTGCGTGTGCATTTATAGTCTTACTATTGTACTATTCTCTGAAATGACATTTAGTAGTGGTTTGGTGAATCATATAGTCAACATTAAATTACACATTTTCTATTCAGGATATTTAATTAAACGAGGATGCTTAATGTTTAATTAAAAGACGACTCAGTTACAACTCAAGACAAGGACTACAGTAAGAAGTATGCAGCTCTTATTACATTACTTCTCACCATTTCAAAATTTAAGAAATAAACACTCTTTCTTTACATGTTTTTAGTTTGCGTGTTCACCCAACAAACAACAGAGTATGACCATTCAATAATATTTCATCAACATCTTAAAGTTTAAAGAATATAACCTTAAGTAACATAATTGTTGTATATAATATTTATTTCTGTTTAATTCACTGACCATCTGTACACATTTATTATATAAATACTACATAAAGGACCTGAATTTCAGGCAATTTTATTTTCTCTTGTAATGTTCATAGGTTAATTAATATTACTATACAAATACTTGTTTTTTTATTTAAAAATGTTTTGTTTTACTCAGCAATAGACAAATACTTATGAATTAAAAGTGTTTTTTTTACCAGCTTATGTGTAATTGTATAATATGTACGGTGACGCATTGCTGCCGCACACATATTATTTTTTCCACTCAATTATGTTGTTAAAACGACATCTTTTCTCGTTAAAACGACATCTTTTCTCGTTAAAACGACACCTTTTCTCGTTAAAACGACATCTTTTCTCGTTAAAACGACATCTTTTCTCGTTAAAACGACATCTTTTCTCGTTAAAACGACATCTTTTCTCGTTAAAACGACATCTTTTCTCGTTAAAACGACATCTTTTCTCGTTAAAACGACATCTTTTCTCGTTAAAACGACATCTTTTCTCGTTAAAACGACATCTTTTCTCGTTAAAAC